GGTGGGGAAAACTGTGCAGGAAAGCACCGCCCGACAATGAGGGATTGCCTTTTCCGGTCTTCCAGGGGCATTTGCCAGCTTTGCTCCCATTTTCCGTGTTTGCCTCCTTTTGCGTTGTGTCATTTCATGAAGATCAAATGGGACATGGAAAGGGCAATTGCCCACCGTGAAGCGAGAAGAGAAACAGAAACAAACACATGGCAAAGACACGGTTATGTCCCTCACTTCCAGCAGGCACTCATCCCCGGGAGCTTCATTGACGGAGTCACCCCAGTGCTTATCACTGATTGGTTGAGGGTGCCCCTGGGCCGGAGTTGGCTCACCTGCTCAGTGTGCTTGCTCACACCTCAGGCTCCCTTCACTGGAGCCCACACCTTGGGCTCAGGCTGGAAGGCAGAGTAAGGGCAGGAAAACTTGTGCCCACTAAGTGGTCTCTTGTTGGCTCACAAGAGAGTCAAAAGTGCTCATTGTCTCTTCTGCTTGAGGCCCTGGGGTGGGTTTGAGACTGAGGGGAAAAATGCTCCTGCTTCACCCTCGCCAGCCCAGCCAGGGGGTTCAGAGCGGTCTCTGTGGGGCCATCTCTCCTGGTCCCTGTCCACCCCCTCTAACCTGTTCCCAGCGCCAACCCCCATACCGGGTTGGGGTCATGGGTCCAACATTCCAGCTCTGTCCTGTGAGGTGACCACGACGTTATGTGACAGGGAAGACCAACTGTGGAGGAGGTGAGGCAGGAAGTGGCGGTGAGAAGACACCAGGAGTGTTGCCGCACAAACAGCTGAATTTAGAGCAAACAGTCTCGTTCTTATCATTTGAGAAGTTTCTGGGAAATGGGCCGACATCGAGTGTATACCACAGACTTCCTGGAGATGCACAAGAGCAAAAACCCCATCGTCTTAAGTAGAACACACAAGACCTGCTTGGCCATTCTCTGGGAGAGACTAAACAAACCAGCCACACAAACAGCGCTTCATTTGCCTTATTTCGCAAGACTGCTTGACGTGGGTCAGTTCTTGCTTCTGCCTCTGGAAATCACAAGCAAAACCTAAACTCTTGCCCAGAATTGGTACCAGGGAACCAGTTGCCAAGTCCCTACCATCTGAGAAAACTCTCATATGACAAGCCATCACCGTGAAGAACACCCAGCTCTGCGGTCTCCCTGTCCCGGCTCCTTTAGAACCACACACCCTCGGTCCGCGTTTGGTTTGACTGCTCCTGTTCGCAATCTGTCTTTTTGGTGCGTGCACCATAAACTTGTACTAAGTCCCACTGCTGCGATTCACTGGGTTTCCTTCTGTGATTTCTGAACTTCTGGCGATATCTAATAAAGGGCTACACACTTCGGTGAGTGATGGAGAACATGTGTAAAGACACGATGTTACGTGGCAAAGAGGAGATCCCCATGTTTGGGGGACATTGCGCAGACCAGCCACGAGCCTGCGCTTTTCCCCACTGCGCATGCTCTCCCGCCGGCTGTGCCCCCGCCACTGAGGCTGGGGAGTAGGGCAGAACTCAGGGCTCTGAAGGGCACCGTCTGTTTGTGGTGAGCTGAGAAAGGGTCTGAGAATACTAGGAAGGGGCAGTGCGCACCCGGCCACCTTGACTGTTTTGTGCCAAGAGGTGGCTAGAGCTGACTTCATTTACCCTTAAATGTCTCCCACTCAACACTTCTCCGATGAACCTAGAAGTCAAAACCCCGGACCAGCGGACCAGTGGGCTTTTACCGGTGTTGCCCTGACAGGACGCTTTCTTCCAAACCTCCAGTTTTGTCATTGTCCGTCCCCTGATCTGGTCACTACCTATGGTGTCCCATTAGGAATCACTAGTCACAGGCATGTGCCACGGGACTCTCTGCGAATCCGGTCAGCCCTGAAGGGGGTTGGTGGGCTGGGTCTCTCATGCCCACTGGGGAAGGCCCAAGTAGCAGGCAGCTCTAATGCAGTCGTAGGAAAAGGCCTTCGATCACCTGCCACAACCCTCATTTTGACCATAAAACACATGAAGGGAGCCTCAGAGCCTCTGTGAGTCCAGCCCACCGCCATAAAACACACGCAGCCTAAGGCCTATAACCTGCACCTCCTGTTCCTCAAACCTGTGCTCTTTCCACTCTGCTTGTGGGTCAACGCGAGGCACAAATGCCTAGGTGACAATGGGAAAGTTCCATGCGGGAAAACCAGCGCCTCTGTGCTGAGGAAGAGTCCCCTTGTCACTACGTGATCACACTCAGGGCCATGGCGCCGCTCAGAGAAGGCAGGCCCTGATGGATCGATGGGAAGGGGTGGAGCTGATTGTAGAGGAAGGCTTGAAAAAAGTCCCATTGTGTTCTTGCAGTAGAACACAGATGTGGGGGTCCATACACTCCCCTTTGTTAACATCCGTACAAATCTCTTGTTAGAAATTCAAATTCCTGTCATCGTGTGAAAATGTCTCATGGCCAGTGAGTCACGCTTAGAGGAAAAGGGGACCCTGCAACCACCTCCCACCACCCTGCCGAATGTTCGGCCTGCACCCTGAAACTTCCTCTGTCTCTTGGGGAGGAAATCATTGCTTAGTCTCCAGATTAAATGAACTTCTGAAGCAAATTCCCCCATAAAGGTGCTCAACTCAGAAAGGATAAAACCTAAAGGTAGAGGTTGGGAATGGGCAGGGGGGCTGGCTGTATGTGTGTGTGGGGGGTAGGGTTGTATTTTGGTTGTGGCAGTATCTGAGAAGCAGCTTGGGCAGAGTCTAGAGTGGCCTTTCCAGAGGAGCCTGTGCTTCTGTCTGCTCTTTGTGAGCATCAGGACCCATCAGTTCTGGAATCTGTTCAGGGCTGCAAGCCAGGATTGAGGGGAACAGTGCTCTAGCAGGGTGGGATAGTTCCGAGTCCCTGGTACAGGCGTCCCCTGGTACTGGGACTTATTGGGACCAACACTGCCAAAGGGGCACTGTGCAAGAAAGAGAGACAGGCAGTGAGGTGGGACAGAGAGGCACAGACAAGAGTGGAGGATGCAGGATTTGGGGGCTAAGAGAGAGGAGAGAAGGGACAGAAAAGGGGGAGTTTACGTAGATAGCAGGAAATTCCCCCTTGTCCTGGTTTCACTTCTTTCATTTAATCTGCGTGTACAAAGTCAAGATTACGCAGGTCAGATGTAGTCTGTTGCTCAAGAAACCATCATCGCTGTAGACCCTATCACCGTCGGTCAATGACCACAGATCACTGGAGGATGTGTTTTGGCCACACGTGGTTGCTGATGAACTCTGGGCAACTAAAAATGTTGGTGGGGGTGGGGGTGGTGTTTGGGGGCAAGGAGGGGGAGGGCACGTTAGAAACAGACCAAAGAGATCAATGTCTACCATTTCAGTGGGTAACAGTCAGCCTGGGGATCTGGTCACAAGTTAGACCTGCAGAGCTCATCTCTTCTAAGATGCTGCCCTTCTGAGGGCTCTGGGCCACAGACTACACCAAACGCACCTTCTGGCTGCTATCTGAGCATTTCAATCTTCAGCTCTGCTTGAATGGCTTTGACCTCCTCAATCTCTTCCCTGTGTGTTGTTTTGTTTGCCTCCCCACTATCCCGGGGAAAATCTTTCCTCCTTGGAGAGGAACCATAGCTCTAGGGTGGTGGGCTGCCGGCAGGTGTTTGGACAGAGGAGTTTCAGTCACTTGTCATCACACCAGATGAGATGGGTCTCTGCTCCCTCGGAGGACAGAGCTTGCCTCAGGAGCACCTTTGCGCTTGTGGTTTTCATCCACTCAACCACAAAGTCATTTTTCAGTTTTGGCTAAAACACCCAGAAAGCAGGTTCTTTTCAAGATACAGTTGAACTCAGCAAGAACAAGAAGTAAACATGAAAAGCTTTTATACAGAAATGTTGGTGAGGAAATGAAGGCAGGCAGGGTCCGGAGCACAGGGGAAGGTGTCAGGAGATAGATGGGGGCCAAGACTCAGAGTGCTCACCTCCGAGGTCACGGCCAGGGCTCCTCTCCAGCTAGCTTTCACCGCACCTGTTCTGTGTCTGGGCACTAAGGCGGGGGGAGGGATAGGGAGGCAGAGGAAGTGAAGCAGGACTCCAGTAAGGTTACCCAAATGCAGATCACGTCAAGCACAATGAGGGACAGGGCTTTCGAATCCATTCTTCGCACAGCCCACCGTACATCTGACTGTGGCATGACCCCAAGGCAATCCCGCAGCGATTTTCCACTTTTCGTAAGGGAACATTCGGGATCCAAACTCGATGACAAGTCCCCATACGAATGGTCTACCTCCAAACTCCCGCCTCACTTCCCCACAATCAGACTTCCTGACTCTGGGTTCTAGACATCCTGGCTTCCTTGAAATAGCCAAGAGAGCTCCAAGCTTTGACTTGCCTCAAAATACGCTGTTTCTTTTTCCTTCAATCCCTCCAGCTTCTACTCAGTCTTCGACTTCAGCTCACACGATGTTACTTCTAAGAAGTTTTTCCCGATTACCTCTCTCCCATCAGGGTAACTTATCACCCAGTGCACCCTACATTCTCCTTAAGAACACTCACCACGCTGAAGTTTCTGTTCAGCGTCAGGCTTGCCTAAGAAAGGATGTCGTGATGGGGGAAGGGTGGTGATGGTAAAAAATCTTGTTTTCTTAAAAGATAGAACCAGAATTCCTCTGGAGCGGAAGAATCTGTTCAGAGAAACAACATGGCTATTACGTTTGGAAGGAAGAGGGGAGCCTGAAACCTGATATAGCTGGAACCCGGGCAATGGGGCAATCAGAGAGAGAGGAGCTACTCTCTTCTAGAGATGGATAAGATCACGATGAAGCAATGCAAAATTCTAATGTAGCCATTAACAAATAGAATCCAGCAACACCTTAACTGCTAGGCAAAGAAGGATCAATATCAGGAAATACTTCTGTATAACTTGATGAATTATAAAGCTATGAGGCCACATAATCTGATAATCCCTTTAGCTATTGAAAGGTAAGTTGTTAAAATTCAGCATCTCATAACCGGTTATGTTTTTAACATAGTAGAATTTTCCATCTGAACCTCGAAGCATCTTGCTCAATGAGAATCACTGAAGTATTGCCACAAAAGTTAGGAACAGCATAAGGACGCCTCCTGTCACTGTGATCATTTGACATTCTTCTAGATACTAGCCATGATAAAAGTGAACGAGATTGGAAGTTGAAAAGAAAAAAGCCAAGAAGAAGAGGAAAAACGATCATTTGGGACCCCAGAAAGAACATTAACAAACCAATATCAGAATGATTAGCATGGGCAACAAATAGATAAGACGGATGTCAATGAAGGAAAAGACGGTTCCTATACATATGAAAAATAGTCACCCACGCTCATGTGGAGTAATGCAAGAAAATCACTAAGATACAGTTTTTCAGTGATCAGATTGGCAGATGAAATCATGAGGAAGGATATGCGGAAACGAATACAATGTTGGTGTAAGTCATTTGATTAACATTTTACTGTGGGCAACCCAGTAGTATCTATCAAAATTACAAATACGTGTACCCATAGTCTAGCAATGCTACTTCCAGGAATCTATTCAGGTGACCCAACTTTCTCTTGCTGTGCAACAAACCACTCCACACTCAGTGGCATAAAACAATTTTATGATGTTCATGATGTCATGTGCTAGGAATTCAGGCAGAGAAGGAGGGTATGACTGGTTTCTCCTACATGGCAGACCGGGGCTTTAGTTGCGGTGGCTGAAATGGCTGCAGGTAGCTGGGACACCGCTAGATGAGAGCCACATGGCTGTGGCTTCCTGGTGGTCAACTGTGTTCCTAGGTTCTTCTCCACGTTGCGCCTGCTGGGGCTGGAACATCCAAGGTGGCTTCTCCACTCCTTCACCAGGGGGACAGCGCTCTTCTCCTGGTTGTTTGGATTACTAGTTCCTCACAGTGAAGTCAAGTCAGGAATTTAAAGGGAGTATTGGTCAGCTTTAATCCCTGGGAGAGCAGGGAGTTTGAAGGGCAGCCACAGTGGCCGTTCAGAGGGGTTGAGATGGTGTGCGGGTGAACTGGTGAAGGAGGGAGTGGAAGGACCCGTGCCTGAGGCTTGTCCATGTCCCATTCCCCAAGGAACGGGGAACTGTCTTCACATCATGGGACTTGATGCTCCCGAAGGGGATCATGGTGATCCATCCTCTGAGACTATAAACAAAGCAGTGGAATAAAATTCAAAAGGGACGTCTCTGCGCTCCCTCACTTGGCAGGATATAGCTGTCGGTGACGTGACACTGCTGCTAAGTGTATCGTTTAGTGGAATGCTTCTGTTGATGTCTTTTGTGGGGAGCTATTCTTAGAAAATGTACTGTAAACCCTAAGGAGCGATTGTGGAAGCAGCTGAAAAGTCAGCAGCGTTCCTGTTCTCGGGCTATTGAACGCAATGGCCCCGTAGAGCAGGATCCCGTGATCCCCAGGGGCAGGGCATAGGTTAGGAGCTGTGAAAGAATGTGACCCTCAGTCCCCCTTCCTGCACCTGGGGATTGCTAGCCCAAACGTCCCCCTCCTCCCTTATCCCATGACTGCCTCCATGTGGGTGGGCGCCTAGGGGAGGATGCAAGCCTGCCTTAGGGCTTCGAGGGAGTTGCCATCCCTTTGTACTCCTTTCCCATGCCTCTGTCCTTGCTTGTCTGATAAAAAAATAAAATAAAAGCTATGTGCAGAATTTAGCTGCCGCTGCTCTCCCTTGCAAAGGCAGCCTTACACGGCCGCTCACATGGGTGTCTGAGAACACTATTTCGGTGCGTGACGACACTCTTGTGGGACTTAAAATGTATTTAAGACTTTTTAATTTAAAAGTTTAGTTATTATTCGTTATGATTATACTGTGAGATTGGCCCTTTTTTACAACTATGGGTGTCAATTTTAACCAATTCCTTGGTGGCAGATCCTATGCTTTGTTAAGCTAACAGTTCTCCACACTTTTCAATGGACAAGTCACTAAATCTAACCTCTTTCAAAAGACCCGATTTGGTATTTTGTTTGTTTATCAAAGTTTGTCCGTTGTGTTGCGTCTCTGCTTTGTTTTGGTTTGCACATAGCTCTTCCATGAAACGTTGGAAGTCAGCAACAAACCTCAGGTGTGGATTGTTCTACACACTACCCCAGCCTTTGCTAGTTCACGTCAAACACTCTCAGCGCACTTCTTTATATGTGTGGTGAGGATGCTTCAGATCGGCCGTCTCAACAACTCTCAAGTGTACAATCCAGAATTATACCTATAGGTGCCATGCTGTGGGTTAGATCCCCAGAACTTAGTCATCTTATAATTGAAGGCTTTTACCTTTTGGCCAGCAACTCCCCATCTCCCCAAATCCCTAGCCCCTGGTAATCACCATTATAACTCCCTGTTTCTATGAGTTCCATTTCTTATTAGGTTCCGCATATAAGTGAGATTATACGGTATTTGTCTTTCGCTGTCCGATTTTTTTTAACTTAGCATAATGACCTAAGGTTTATCCATGTTGTTGCAAACGGCAGGATTTCCTTCTTTCCCGTGTCTGAACAATATTCCATTGTGTACACCTATCACATCTTCTTTATCCAATCATCCACTGACAAACAGAGATTGTGTCCATAACTTGGCTATTGTGAATAATGCTGCAGTGAACACGGGAGTGCGGGTATCTCCTCAAGATCCTGATTTTGTTTCCTTTGGCTATATACCCAGGAGAGGGATTGCTGGATCGTATGGTAGTTCTATTTGTAATTTTTGAAGGAATCTCCATCTGTCTTCCATAATGGCTGCACCAGTTGCATTCCCACTAGCACCGTACAAGGGTTTCCCTTTTCTCCACATCCTCCCCAACACTTGTTATTGCTTGTCTTTTTGGTCATAGTCATTCTGACAGGTGTGAGAAAACTCACTGTAGTTTTGATTTGCATTTCCCTGATACTTAGTGATGCTGAGCACTTTTTCATGCGCCTGTTGGCTATTTGTATGTCTTCTTGGGAAAAAACATCTCTTCAGGTCCTTTGCCCATTTTTAAATTGGGCTCTTTGACACGATACTTACATTCGCCCGTGGCTTTCTTTTATTAAGCCCAAGATATTTTTTGTATTCAGAAAAGCAATGTCTTAAGATTTTATTATTCAAACAATTTTATATGGAGGTGATTTACTGAATTTTATCTATGAATTAGAAAAGTGTTGGGCTTTGGATTTGATGTATGTTGCATTGTATTTGTTTTACATATACAACAACAGGAAATAGGTCCCTGTTAGCACTTTGCCACAGACTGTTGTATTTTTAGGAAAAGATTACTGATACGAAGCAGGAGCTGCTCATATTGTCTTGCTCTTTAAGGGCACTTAAGAAACTGCCAGTGAAGGAGCTGGAAGAATAAAGAACAAACTGATAATGTCACAGGTAGTGATGTTCACCCAAGTCCCATGGCTCCCCTGCATTTCCCAGCCTCCCTTAGAGTGAGCTCAGAGCCGTAGATTATTCCTCATCAGTGGGTTGGGAGAGAAAGCCACACGTGGTCACTAGGAATCTGGGATGAAGGCAACGTAAACTCCATATTCTCTCTCCCGCCCCCTCCCCCGTCCCCCGTTGTGCTGACCTTCACATAAATAAGGAGAAAGAGCACTTGAACGATTTCGACTTTAACTCTTTGGGTTGTTCTTCCGGAAAGTGGACACTCCCGATTATTATTGTAGACACTAGTAGATCATTGCCCCCTAGAGGTGTTTTCCCCGAACTGACAGAGCTGGATAGGAAAGAAAAGCAGGGGGACCCTGGGAGCCATCGGGAGTTATTTCAAAATCCTTTCAAGGTTAATGACTGTTAACTCCCAGTCTGACTCAAGAAACGGGCTTCTCACAGGTTCCCCTTTCTACATACCTTTTCCTTCTGCACAGCGCCCCGCTAGAGGTGCCCCCCCACCTCCCAGACCCACACACTTGCCCCCCACCCCCAGTGATACTTGCCTTTAGAACAGTCACTGCCACCAGTGAGAATGAGGCTTAACTCCTGGGCGGGCTTTGCATTTGGGCAAACTTGTGACCCGGAGGACACAGCCCGGGCAGGAAGAGACCAAACCTACCAGCTACCCTGACGTGCCTGCCTTTCTCCCCTGTCCAGCTGAAATCATTCCAACACTGCTTTTTCACTACAGGCAAGAAAACGTGGTCCACACGATAGCAAGTAACTACTGATTCAGTTTTCCCATTTTAACACAGGCATAAGGAGGGGCTCTTTGCAGCAGGGAAGCTCTGCAGACATTAAGGAGAGGAAGACGACAGGCTGGGCTTTTGTTTTATTTTCTCTTTCTCTTTGAGCTGAGCTGGCAAGTCTCAGGTTTGAATGGGAGTCATCTGGGTTTCTTTGGACAGTAAATCAGGTAAGCCCACATTCATGAAAAGTTCCACAGTGTTGATTTCTAATTAGCAGGTTATGCTTGGGGAAAAAAAAAATCTTTTTTAGAACAAATTTTCCCTGTTTTAAGGGAAGCGATTTAGACTGGCTGCCTTTGGCTGAAGTACAGCCAGTTTACAAGACTGTAAACTTTGTAGACTTTCGTTTATACGTTACTGGCAAACAGCTTCCTTAGCATGAAGCCAATAAAGAGTGCTAACTGGGAAGAATGTGGGCATTCGCATGTGTTCGTGAGTCTTCTGTGCCTTGTCGCTTTGGTATACGCTGCCAGACTTAAGCAAGAGAGAAACACCATCTGATGAAAATGAACTGATGTTTCTCACTGCACAGGGAAAGGGAATGGGTCCCAAGTTTTCTTCAAGTTGGCTGTTGAGGATCGAGGAAAACTCAAGTAATTGATGGATTGAATGAAATGTATTTCAGGCTTCAAGGATAGTGTACTTAATTCACTGAGTCTCTCACAAGAATTTCAAACGAAGGGCGAGGTTTGGAGAGAGGGCAGAGGACGGGAGAGGAGGGAGCAAGGTGGGGAAAGCAGGAGAGAAGGAAAGAGAAGACTGAGCCTCGCATCAGGGCAGGCCAACAAGAAGGAAGGCGAGAGAAGGAATGGGTGAGGCCAAGGAGAGCAAGAGTGAGGCTGAGGGGCCATGGGAGGAAGGAGGAAGGACACAGAGAAGAGGTGGGCATGGAGACCAGAAGCAGCAGGGGCGTACAAAGGAAACCTACTTCTCCACTCACTGACTCGCCACCGGTGACTCTGGGCAAATGACTCTGTCTCTGTAGGACAGGATAATTCTCTCCCCCGTCAGCTATGTGTAAGCAAACGAGGCATGGGTGTGACAGTGCTGTAGCAATACAAGGGTCTTTCCTGATTCAGAACTAAAAAAATTCTCTATATATGTGGTATCTAAAATGTATCTAGGGCGCCTGGGTGGCTCAGTCGGTTAAGCGACTGCCTTCGGCTCAGGCCAAGATCCTGGAGTCCCGGGCTCGAGTCCCGCATCGGGCTCCCCGCTCAGCGGGGAGTCTGCTTCTCCCTCCAACCCTCCCCCCTCTCATGTGCGCTCTCTCCATCTCTCATTCTCGCTCTCTCAAATAAATAAATAAAAATCTTTAAAAAAATAAAATAAAACATATCTATATTCCCTGAAATTGCAGAGCTGGATAGGAAAGAAAAGGAGGGGGCCACGGAAGCCAGGAGAGAGTTATTTCAAAATCCCTTAAGGGTTAATGACTGTTAACTCCAGTCTGGCTCAGGAATATATATATTATATATATAATTGGTCTCTGGTCTCTCTGTGCCTCAGGAACAACAATGGACCAACACGAATGCGGTCACCCTGGTAAGTGACTTCTTCTGTGTGTGATTGTTTTACCAATTTCTGTGTCAATTTTACATAAAAATCATGCAACCTTCTCTAAGCAAAGTACAAGCTATCAGATATTTCTTCAGAGAGAATAATTTTACTTTGCTTATTCCAGTATTTCCCCAGTCCAGGCTTTACACTGGTGGTCCAGACCACAGCCCAGCCCAGCGAGGTCAGAAGAGCCATCTCTGGCCTTAGAATAGAGTCAAGTTACCTAAGCCATGTGGAGATCGAACCCACAGTCGTGGCTACACATCTCTGATCTTCAGAAAATTTATCTTTTACACAGCCAGACCTGGCTGAGTCAAGCGAGCCTAGCATGACTAGATATGTTTCTAAATCCATATCGTCCCCCAAGTATGTTTTTCTACGATCCAACATGGCAGCATCCTGTAGTCCTAGAGAAACTGAGTTTGTTTTTTTTAATAAACATTTATTTATTGATTTCAGAGAGAGAGAGAGAGAGAGAGAATGAGCATGGGAAAGCGAGCAGGGTGAGGGGCAGACGGAGAGGGAGAGACAGAATCCTTGAGCAGACTCCCGCTGAGCACAGAACCCTACACGGGGCTCATTTTAAGGACCCTGAGATCATGACATGAGCCAAAACCAAGAGCCGGCCTCTCAAACAACTGAACCACCCAGGTGCCCTGAGAAACAGAGGTGTTTTAAAAATCACTGTTGGTTTGATTTGATTTGATAATGGAGTTAGCCTCTATTTTATAAATCCAATGTATTGGGAGACTATCTTTGCTCATAGTGTGGGAATATCTCTTATTGTTAAAAGTATTCCATTGGTATAACCAGTGGTCATAACGTAGCAAACTCGCTCTTACAGGACCATATATGAAGAACCAACGTGCCAGAGGATCAGAGCTGAGAATCATTCTGGTGGGCAAAACAGGAACGGGCAAAAGTGCCACCGGGAACAGCATCCTTGGGAAGCAAGCATTTGGGTCCCAGCTGACTGCCCAGCCCTTCACTAAGACTTGCAGTGAGAGTCAGGGAAGCTGGGGAAAGAGAGAGATGGTCATTATCGACACACCGGATATGTTTTCTGGGGAGGACCACTCCGATGCCCTGTGCAAAGAGGTGCAGAGGTGCTACTTACTCTCTGCCCCAGGACCCCATGTGCTGCTCCTGGTGACCCAGCTGGGCCGATTCACCGCCCAGGACCAGCAGGCTGTGCAGAGGATGAAGGAGATCTTTGGAGAAGATGCCATGAGTCACACAATTGTCCTCTTCACCCACAAAGAAGACCTCGAGCGAGAATCCTTGACGGATTACCTCCAGGACACAGATAACAAAGCCCTACGCAAGCTGGTGGCAGCATGTGGGGGGCGAGTGTGTGCCTTTAACAACTGTGCTACAGGGAGGGATCGGGATGGCCAAGCGAAGGAGCTCATGGACTTGATAGAAGGCCTGGTGTTGGAGAAAAGGGGTGACCACTACACCAATGGGCTCTACAGCCTTGTAACAGCGTCAGCATGTGGATCTGTGTGCGAAGAGGAAGGGGTAAAGGATTTCAAAAGAGATCTTAGGAAGTACATGGAAAATCAGAGACGATACTCCACCATGGCCAAAGCAAATGACCTGAAACAAGCCCTAATCAAGACACCAGTCTTTATTTTTTCAGTTTTTATTCATTTCTTTCTCAAATTGCCTGTTCTGTTATTTTGTGTATTGTATAGAACGTGCGTCTCGTTTTGCTGCTTTCTTTTCAGTGTATGCTGTTTGTTCTGTAGCTTACTGTTAATGATAGCCAAAATATTGATGATAAGTTTGAGAAAGATCACTGGGCTGGAAGGCAAGACTCCTAGATTATCGTTACAGGGCAGAGATTATTCATTCACGACCAGATACCGGGTGAGTCCAAGTGCCTCCCCTGGAAAACGCAGTGCCTGACATCAGTAAATGTTTGTGGTTCTGTGAAGTGTTTAAATCTTAACATCACTCTCTTAATGACCCAAGTTATTTTAACAGTTACTGTCTGCCTTGAAATTTAATACGAAAAGCGTTTGAAAGCTGTAAACATAAAATTCCTCTCATTTGCAAACCTCTAAAGCCAGTTTTAGGTTCCTGGAAACCCCTTTTCTTCTTTATGATACTACTATTTCTACTGAACATAATAAAAACAACAATAAAGCTTCTACTCGGTAGAAGAACATAGCAATAATAAATAAGATGTAAAGTTCCTGAGATCCCATTTCTTCTATCTAGGCAGCGGCCTGCCAGGGCTGAGCTCCCTCAAAACCTTCCCCTGGGAATTGGCCCTCCATGTGCTCTCCTTTCTCTGAAGCCAAACAACCGGAGTTGCTTTTGTCTGTTTTCCCTGACCTCAGGCTGCCTTCCCCTGTCATTGGATTGTCTTCCCTCCTGTCTTTGCCCTCATGTTTCGCAGACTCCCCCAAAGCCCGAGGGGGAGAGCCAACACTGAGCAGAACCTCAGTCCATCTCGTTTATTTGAGTTCAATCTGAGTTGAATAAATATAGGAAACAAT